TTGAATTTGGGGGATGCATGCCCCCAGTATACCTCAAGGGCTCTTTAAAGCTAGTGAGAATCACATGTACGTGAAACCTCTCATGGAATCCTTGTAGGAAAAATGCCAAGCTGTAGACAGGCTTTGGATGCCCTTTTCTGATTTTCAGAAGTGAGCACATAGCTTGCTTTGTAGCTACTGAGTCCTTCTTATCTTCTCTTGGTAGAAGGCTCAGTGTGAAGGCCCGAAAACGTCTGTGCTCCAGTCACATGGCCTAGAACAATCATTCTCTTCTTTTGGGTTCAGTATATATCGTATAGACATGGCTTCACTAATATTTTCAGCACAATTCCTCTTTTGTTTTCTGAAGAGTTTTTTTCTCCCCTAAAATCTCTCCCAAAGTAAGAGGTCAGTGACATCTTCTAAGTACTCCATCATTTCAAAGACTGTCAGAGAAAAGTCTTGTGTCCAGTAACTGGCTACCTCAGTGGGAGGAGAGACTCCATATTACATGACAAGGCCACTTAACCCACTTCCTCTTGGAAAGTGTCACCAGCCACTCTCTAGGTTACACGATCTTTCCTTTCTCAGAACCACTTGAAGCATTGCCTGGGCTCTTTTTCTCTGTCTTCCTTTTCCTTCTTTCTTCCACTAAACGCTTCCTGAATGGCCATGCCAGACACTGAGCTGGAGAGAGAGAGAGGGAGAGGGAGGGAGGGAGGGGGAAGAGAGGAAGGAAGAAAGAAATCAAGCAACTACTGTTTCATTTATTCATGATTCTAAGGAAAGAGAGAGAGAGAGAGAGAGAGAGAGAGAGTGTGTGTGGGGTGGGGGGTAAAGAGGGAAGCACAGCTAGATGAGTTGGAAACAGAACTGACCCTGAAACAGCACATGGTCTACTGAGGGAGGCCAGACCACAAGCGATTCTAAGGGAGGCTGCTCTGCCAGATGAGAAGAATCACTCATAATCCAGAGGGAAGAATCACTCATAATCCAGAGCTGCCTCTTTTGATGTATCTTTTTTTTTTTTTTAATTCCAGCATTTGAAATCTTCATCTTAAATCTTTTCTTTTCCTTTTTAACATCCTTATTGGAGTATAACTGCTTTACAATGGTGTGTTAGTTTCTGCTTTATAACAAAGTGAATCAGCTATACATATACATATATCCCCATATCTCTTCCCTCTTGCGTATCCCTCCCTCCCACCTTCCCTATCTTACCCTTCTAGGTGGTCACAAAGCACCGAGCTGATCTCTCTGTGCTATGCGGCTGCTTCCCACTAGCTATCGATTTTACATTTGGTAGTGTATATATGTCCATGCCACTCTCTCACTTTGTCCCAGCTTACCCTTCCCCCTCCCCGTGTCCTCAAGTCCATTGTCTAGTAGGTCTCCGTCTTTATTCCCATCCTGCCCCTAGGTTCTTCATAACCATTTTTTTTTTTTTAAGATTCCATATATATGTGTTAGCATACGGTATTTGTTTTTCTCTTTCTGGCTTACTTCACTCTGTATGACAGACTCTAGGCCCATCCACCTCACTACAAATAACTCAATTTCATTTCTTTTTATGGCTGAGTAATATTCCATTGCATATATGTGCCACATGTTCTTTATCCATTCATCTGTCAATGGACATTTAGGTTGTTTCCAGGTCCTGGCTATTGTAAATAGAGCTGCAGTGAACATTGGGGTGCACGTGTCGTTTTGAATTATGGTTTTCTCAGGGTATATGCCCAGTAGTGGGATTGCTGGGTCGTATGGTATTTCTATTTAGAGTTTTTTAAGGAACCTCCATACTGTTCTCCATAGTGGCTGTACCAATTTACATTCCCACCAACAGTGCAAGAGGGCTCCCTTTTCTCCACACCCTCTCCATCATTTACTGTTTGTAGATTTTTTGATGATGGCCACTCTGACTGGTGTGAGGTGATACCTCATTGTAGTTTTGATTTGCTTTTCGCTAATGATTAGTGATGTTGAGCATCATTTCATGTGTTTGTTGGCAATCTGTATATCTTCTTTGGAGAAATGTCAATTTAGGTCTTCTGCCCATTTTTGGATTGAGTTGTTTGTTTCTTTGATATTGAGCTGCATGAGCTGCTTGTAAATTTTGGGGATTAATCCTTTGTCAGTTGCTTCATTTGCAATAATTTTCTCCCATTCTGAGGGTTGTCTTTTCGTCTTGTTTATGGTTTCCTTTGCTGTGCAAAAGCTTTTAAGTTTCATTAGGTCCCAGTTGTTTATTTTTGTTTTTATTTCCATTTCTCTAGGAGTGGGTCAAAAGGCTCTTGCTGTGATTTATGGCATAGAGTGTTCTGCCTATGATTTCCTCTAAGAGTTTTTTAGTGTCTGGCCTTCCATTTAGGTCTTTAATCCATTTTGAGTTTATTTTTGTGGATGGTGTTAAGGGAGTGTTCTAATTTCATTCTTTTACACGTAGCTGTCCAGTTTTCCCAGCACCACTTATTGAAGAGGCTGTCTTTTCTCCATTGTATATTCTTGCCTCCTTTATCAAAAATAAGGTGACCATATGTGCATGGGTTTATCTCTGGGCTTTCTATCCTGTTCCATTGATCGATATTTCTGTTTTTGTGCCAGTACCATACTGTCTTAAAGACTGTAGCTTTGTAGTATAGCCTGAAATCTGGGAGCCTGATTCTTCCAGCTCCGTTCTTCTTTCTCAAGATTGCTTTGGCTATTCGGGGTCTTTTGTGTTTCCATACAAATTGTGAAATTTTTTGTTCTAGTTCTGTGAAAAATGCCAGTGGTAGTTTGATAGGGATTGCACTGAATCTGTAGATTGCTTTGGGTAGTATAGTCATTTTCACAATGTTGAGTCCTCCAATCCAAGAACATGGTATATCTCTCCATCTGTTTGTAACATCTTTAATTTCTTTCATCAGTGTCTTATAGTTTTCTGCATACAGGTCTTTTGTCTCCTTAGGTAGGTTTATTCCTAGGTATTTTTTTTTTATGTGTCTTGCTTCTCCACTTACATGCTCTCTTTAGGGAAGGTATCAGCTGTTTTTGCCTGCTCAGCATGCATTTCTTTTTCTGGTAATGGCATGCTGATTTTGCACTGGATACAGCTCAGTGGCACTGTGAATCAAAGCAACATGGTCTGCCCCTCTGAAAAGCTGGTATGACACAAGCTGGACCAATCCAATTCCCTCTCTCAGATTTGGTCCTCAAGTGGAGACACAAAGACAGAAGACGGTCAGAGCTGATTTTGTCTTACAGCCATGTCAATGACACTGGCCATGGTTCCCACCACCTGGATTTCTGGAACTACTCTGGGTACTAGCTTTTATCATCAATCCTATGAACTGCCACAAAAGCCTTCCAATACACTTTTTCTTAAACCTCACTTACCTTGAGTCTGTTTCTGCTATTTGCCTATAAAGAACTGTAAGAGATCCTCTTCTGGAAGTGAAAGACCAGGTCTCCCAGTTCTTCTCTATGACCTGTCAATGTACCCTTCACAAAACAGGTACTCAATAAATGTTGGTTAGCTGATATTCTGAGGAAATGTATCTCGGTACGAAATGTCTTCCATCACTTAGCTGTGGCTTATTTGGATGGTTGGGAATAATTCCAAAGTTTTCCTGTGGTTACTTTATTTTAAGGTTTTGTTGCACCCCACAGTGATCGTGAAAGCAAAGATTACCTCTTGCTTCTAGCCAGACAGATGCTGTTTGCCTTAGAGACACAGTAGAAGCTTGAGTAGATCTGTAGAAGGTGTAGCCTTAGAAACTCAGGGTTGGTGGAACTTTCAAGGCCATTTAGACTAAGAGGCAGCTGCTTTTATTGTGAGATTTCAGAATCGGTAGCGCTCAAAATACTAGTCAACGCTCATAGCCAACGCAATAACCCAGTAAACACCTTTAGTCACTAAATTACAAGTTGACTCACTTTGTGACATCTTTCAGAGTACAGAATAAATTAACTTTTGGCAAATTGAATTATAGCTCACATGCTCTGGTGGAGCTTGCAAATTAAAAAAAGGCAATGACAAATTCCTTTGTAAACTGAAAAATCCTGATGCAAAAAGCAAACAAAGCCAAAAAAAGCGGGGGGGGGGGCGCGCGTGGAGATTTTCAAGGACATGCATTACTATTTCTGGAATCTTTTTTTCTTAAAGATACAATGAAGAGGCCAATAATATTATTTATATATTACTGATGGATTATTAACATCAATATCTATATCTACACCTGCATCTTTATATACAGAGATGTACCCTGCTGCATGGTTAATGATAGTTCCAACTGGGGAAGCCCAAAGTACCTCAAAAAGGAAAATTCCACAGGTATTAGAATCTGAGCTATATGTGCATTCATGAAACAATGTCTACAATGATTGTGTTCAAAGACAAAAAAGCAAGCTGATGAAAAACATGAAGTGTCTGATTATTTTTAAAAAGCCTATGTGGAAAGATATATTTAGATGGTTAAACACAATGATAGGGGGTCTGGAAGCCTCAGACATCAAGAAGACTGCAATGTTCTTCCACGGGTGATTCAAAATCACACTTACTAAACAATGAAAAAGATGCAAAGAGCCCAACTAAATTCTGGCTTTTCTCATAACGACTACCTTAGTGCTTTCAGAAACAGCAGATTCTTCCAAAATAATGTTAGTGTCCCTACTGCCCTAATCAGGCACACACCTGCTCCCTCCCTGGGTTCCTGCATCGCTGGCACGGGTGGGAGTTTACTGCTCCCACATTTCATATATATTTCTGTATTGTTAGAATTAAGAAATAATGAGCATGCATTAATTTTTAGAACTTGAAAGTGACGTAAAAAGGAAAAGGAGCAGAAGGGAGCGCTCTGGGTACCGGAAATGTTCTGTATCCCTCTGAACGGTGGTTGCATGCATAGGTAATATATAGGAATTCACTGTTAAACACTTGAGCTTTGTGCACTTAAGGTAAATTATATCAAAAACATTAATGAATCCTATCGAATCTTTAAAAATAATGGCTCTTAAGACTGACAATAGAGTTGAAGTGTTACCTGCACTAAGACAAAAAATCTTTTCTTCCATCTCTTCCAGACATTCTTACCGATGGCCCATAAGTACCTGAAGGAAAGCAAAAAGACCAGAGATGCATTAATGCTTGAGCTAGTGAGCTGTTTAACTCACTTTACCATGAAGCTGGGTGCTCACGAACAAGGAGACTCACAGGGCTCAGGAACAGATTGCAGACTCTGGAGCTGTGTGGTTGAGAATAATGAATAGCAGCAGGCAGGGTTTACTTTGGTTTATAGGAGGAATTGTGGCCCATCATCAGACTTGACTTAGAACCTTGACTGATTCCAGGAAACACCTTGGAAAATGTTACATTGTACCTTAATTTGTTTACGTGCTAAACTGTCTTATAGGTAGGGAAACTCCTGAAAGCTGTTGCACAGGAGAGAAAAAAAAGAGTGCTAAATCTCACAACTGCAACTCTTTCACCTCCTGTCAAGTCTCTTTCAGGAAAACCTTTAGTAAACGAAGCAAACCTTGTCTGCTTTTGCGGTAATTCCGGCAAATGTAGTTATGTTACAGAAAGGAAATTTCAAGTCGGCATAGAAAGTCCTCCCTACACCTGTCCCTCTCCCAGAACTGCTCTTCTGTTGATGGAAATTAATCTTTATGCAGAAAAAATTTAGTTAAAGGAGGGTTGAGAATAACAAAGGCACACTTCAAAGCTGTCTGGAGATTTTATGATCAGTGTTACTAATTCACTCATGAATTACCCCGTTGGCCTGATGGATTGATACACGTTGAACTGGCATTGATCAAGGAAGTGAGGCTGGTGGTTTTCAAGCTCTATTGGACCAAGTGAAGAGAGATCTGGTCATACTCAAACCCAATCAAATCCTCGAGCTCCAAAACTGGCTTTATGTGCTATCAAAACCCAACTGGACAACTTCCAAATCCCCACTTCACTTGGAATCAGACACAATTTCTGCTTTGGAACACAATGAAGAATGCACCTAATTAAAATGTACACTGGGGCTTCCCTGGTGGCGCAGTGGTTGAGAATCTGCCTGCTAATGCAGGGGACACGGGTTCGAGCCCTGGTCTGGGAAGATCCCACATGCCGCGGAGCAACTAGGCCCATGAGCCACAACTACTGAGCCTGCGCGTCTGGAGCTTATGCTCCGCAAAAAGAGAGGCCACGATAGTGAGAGGCCCACGCACCGCGATGAAGAGTGGCCCCCGCTTGCCACAACTAGAGAAAGCCCTCGCACAGAAACGAAGACCCAACACAGCAAAAATAAATAAATAAATTACTAAAACTCCTACCCCCAACATCAAAAAAAAAAAAAAAAAAAAGGGCTGGATATTTATTAAAAAAAAAAATGTACACTGTTTGACAAATTTCAGGGGCTCGTAGGAGTGGCTGGTGGCCGAAGTACTCAGACCTTCATGCCAGGAACCTGAGTCTTCTGGGTCCTTTTGCTTCCTCATGCTGATTCTTCAATTACCAAGTGCACTTGATTTTTACCTCCTGCCAAGTTCCTTACTTTGCTCACACCTCCACTCTTTCAGTCCCAGCACACATTTTACGGCCATGGTAAACCACAGAGGAAACTCTTAATCGGTTTCACCAGAATGCGTTTCATCCTCCTCCTGGCCGTGGGACGGATCCTACCATCTGCATGTATGAACTTCCCTGCTGAAACTCCTTCAGTGAGTCTCCCCCACTGACACGAGGGGAGCCCGCAACTTTGACCACTCGTCTTGCACTTCCACGATTTATCCCAGATCGGTCCATCTGTTGTATGATTTACTCGCCTTTTTTCTTTAAATTGACTTCTTTAACAAGAATAAATTTATTTTGAAAGGAAACTTTACATTGTAGCTTTGATATACTAATTTTATATTATGTAACGCACATTAAAATACATAAGTAACTGCTTAACTAATATATGCTTGTCTGTATACCACTAAACAATCTTGTGTACCATCAGTGGTAAGAACAGACCCAGGGAAACCTTAGCCTACAGAAACAAAATGGAGCATCTTGACCTGGCCTAAAAATGACTTTGTTTGCCAGCTATGCTTCACTCTCTAAATTTAGCTTCTGTGCCTAATATTACCTGTAATTCCTCACCACACCATAAAGTTGCACACCCCCATAACTTTGCACATGTTATGGTGCCCGGAATGCCTTCTCCCTGATCCTTATGTTAGAATTCATATTATTCCTAAGTTTGAATCCTTATCGTGATGTCATCACCTCCTGGGCCCTGCAGATAATTCTGCTGGTAGTTACAATGATCACACTGCTATAATTTATTTATTTTCATATGTATTGTTTCTATTGGATTGTGAGTTCCTTGAAGGAAGGAAACTTGTTCTTTTTTTTCTAAATTTTCCTTTCTAAATTCCTAGCAGAGCTTTTGATGTATGGTAGGTGGTCAGTATACATTTGCTATATTTCAGTTAGTTATGAATGCCTTGGGAAACCAGAGCCATCTTTATCAAACTTTCTGATGAGAGTTTCACACATTGCATAGAGACATGCACTCCACTGCCAAGTTCTTTGAGTTTTTTTTTTGTTTTTCCTCCCAAAATATATCCCATCTATTTCTATCTCCACTGCTACTCCCCATTCAAGCTACTATCATGTCTACCCAGACCACAGCAACAGGCTCCTCTCTGGTCTCCCTGCTTTCACTCTAACTCTTTTCATTACATGGCAGACAGAGTGATCTTTTAATGGGCAAATTAGATCAGGAATACACTCCATCTAAATAAGGATGGGAAACTATGGAAGGGTTTTAAGCAGGGGAGTGACACAATTATATTTCTATTTAAGATGATCCCAGTGGCTGCTGAGTGGTTAATGCACTGTAGATGGAAAAGGCAAGAGAGAAGGCAGGGGCACCAGTGAGACGGTTATAGTAGTGCAGACAACAGAGAGGATGGTGGCTGCACTGAGGCTGAGGCCGTGGAAATGGCTGGACGGCTGGTAAGTGCATCAACCCCGAGGCCAACATGGTCAGCTCTGGTTACGTGGATTACCCAGCTACCCTGGACAGCGTTCTTAACCTTCTTGAAATAATATATAAATGTATCCATGGCAGAAATGGACCTAACAGGAACCCTCAGCCAGGTCTAAGGAGAGACAGGGTTATTGGTCTGTACCGATTAAGAGTATAATGTTCCAGTTCTAGTGGTTAATCTGAGATGTTGGACAAGATGCTTAACCACTCGGTGCTCTGGAAAACAGGGCCAGGAACAGTCCCTCTCTTGCAGGGTGGTTGTGGAGATTAAATGAGACGATGCTTGTGAAGTATAAGCACGAGGCATGGCAGGAAGTAGATGCATAATAAATATCAGCCTTATTATAAAATATCTTTGAGTACAGAGGTAGGCGTATCGTTACGAGTAGTTATTAATAGCCAAATACGTGACAAGAAATCCCCTTGGACATATGTACATAGGGAAATAGATGAATTAAAAGATAAATAAAGACAATGGGTGAAAATTTTTCTATTTTTAGTAATGCCCAGTAACGTTGTAACTCTCATACTTTTCTGGCCGCTACTACCAATTTTTCTTACGTCTTAACTTGAATCCACATAAAGAGATTCAAAACAACAAACACAGCTACGACCTCTAAAGTGTTTATAGTTTTAACTGATGAGAACGGAAGTAGGAAAAGGAGTTCACGTGACCCCACAGAATGTAATTCATATGGCCTCATTAACTTTTTCCTTCATAATAAAAATCCTAGCTACTGCTCGTGAAGTCTTACTAGTCTTCTGTGCCGTGCCAGGTACTTTATGTGAATTTATTATACCCACCTGGAAGGGTTAAGAGCTTGAATCTGGAGCTTACGTTGCTTAAGCTTACGTTGCTTACGCTCCTGCATGACCTTGGGCAAGTTACTAAACTTATCTCTACCTCAGTTTTCTCATCTGTACAATGGGGACAGTAATAATGGTACCTACTTCAAGTGTTGCTGTGAGGATTAAAGAAGTTAATGAAACATAAAGTGCTTAGAACGATATCTGGCACAAAGTAAGCAATTATTACTCGGTATGTCATTATGTTATCACTCCTATTTTACAGCTGAGGAAACTGAAGTTCAGAAAGGTCAAGTAATTTCTCCAGGGCGCCAAGCTGGTGAATGACATAGCCAGAATTTACACCCAGAACACTTTGGTTCCAGAGGGCCCTCTTCAGCACGCTATTCTTCCTCTTACAGATGACAAACTTTGGTTTCTTTATTGAACTAAGAACATAAATGGCTATTCCAATCAAACAGAGAGGACTTGTGGTTGAAGGCTTCTGAATGGGAAAGCTGAGTGGGATCAGAGGAAAATGAACAATCCTCCTTTGGAAAGTATCATTTGGTTTGCGTGAAAGAAGGGCTTTCCCTCTGAGGCTTCCTCAGAATTTATTGCTAATCTGGCACATACCAGATGTCAAAACCAAGAAAAATTGAGGGCTACAATGTACAGTTTCTGTCTAGTCAGCTCTGGTTCTATATTTTCTCAGGTTGAAACACGCTCATTAAGCAGAATGAAAAGTACCTGGAGCAGATGGAATTCTGTCATTGTAGACATACAGGTGGCTTCCCCCCTCCAACTCTTCATTCCATAGACAGATCTACCTGTGTGGGCATTAGTGACCCTCAACTACCTCTTCAGGCTATCCGGATATTTGGAAATCTGGATTTATGAATAGATAATCAACATTCTAGTACAGTGAGCCGAAGTTTAGCTGAGGGGTTACATCTCAAACTCAAGGTGGAAATACCTAGGTGGGAATTCTGGGTCCTTAGGCCTAGCTGCCCCATGCCTCAGTTTAATCAGCTGTAAAATGGGGCTAGCATAGGATCTACTTCATTTGGTTGTTATGAGGACAGATGGAGATGATGCATGTCAAGTTGTTAGCACAGTAACTGGCCCCTAGTAAGTGCTCAGTAGACCTAACTCTATGCTCCCTGCAAGAAATGCACTTTAAATCTAAAGACACAAAGAGGCAAAAAATAAAAGGATGGGAAAGGAATTACGATGCCAATGTTGGTTTTTAAAAAATCTGGAGTGGTTATATTTATTACTGTCACACAAAAT